GGTGGGAAGAGATTAACCAGAGAACTTACATGCATATATGCATAACCCATGGACACAGACAATAGTGTGGTGCAGGCGGGGGCAGGTGCTGGATAGGAGGGGTCAATGGGGGGGAAAAGGGGACATCTATAATACTTTCAACAGTAAAGATGAAATTTAAAAATAATAATAAAAGTTGATCAAATCAGTCTCAATCAAGGGCCATCCAGGAAAGTAAGAAAGCGACAGGCTGGAAAGTTAAGTCTGTAAGCTAAGAAATTCTCTGTTAAAAAAATAGTTTCTTAGAAAAGAGGACATTTGAGGCGGAGTGAAGGCACTGGAGCAAGACCTGATGTTGCAGAGACAAACGATACTCAGAACTCAAGATTTTGTGTCTTTTCCTAGAAGCCCAAATTCGTAGATAGAATTTTATGTGATGATTCATCCTATACTTTAGGTAAAGTAAAACTTCAATGAATATAAAAGAATATACCAGCTTCTGACAAACTGGTTGGACCTAGAAATTGTGGGAATAGAAGTTACAGCCCTTGGGGCCCATTTGGTCAAAACGGTCATGGAGTGAGTCTCACAAAATCAGTGAGCTTCGGTGTCTGTGTGAAGACTCTGTCTCCAAGAAACTTAAGGTGATAAGAAAAGCTGTATCTATGGTGTTCTAAAATCAACACAAATTATCCTGGCAAACACTTTTTCATGTTTCCTCAGGCAGTTTTCTTTTTTTTAAGCAGTTTTATTTGGGTCTAATTTACTTGAGTTTTTAAAGGGCCTCACAGACCATTAGAGAATTCATGCAGCTTCCTGTGGTGCTAAACGTGGTATCAGGCTACGCTTGGCCCTTGGGTCCTGATTTCGTGCATCTTCATTGACCCCTCTTGGTGGCTAATACCCTCCCAATATCTGTAGAATTACCGAGTCTTTGACCACATTCTCTCATAAGGTACAGTCCCTGGTGCTACCAGGCCTGCTTCTAACTTGTTATTTCATTTAGCTGTTAAATGGATGTAATGCATGAGTGAAGAAATATCATCTCAAGAGTGTTGTTTTTTTTTTACTTCTGTAATTCCCAAGTTACCCGTTATTTAAAATAATTCTAATGGATATGTACGAAATAAAAATAATAAGAAAGTTACTGTTATCTTGAGGGCATGGTTAATAAGTTACAAATATTTGACTCCACTGAAGATATATCAAAATAAAAAAAGCTTTAAAATTTCAAAAATGTTAAAGCTGTAAAGATGAACATTTATGCTTGGAGTAAAATACTTTCATTGTTTATGATGAAAATGATTCTATTTTTCTAAGCAAGTTTCCAAAGATAATTCATTAGTTCTTAAAGTATTATTATGTATCTCCTACTGCTGGCTTAATGTATTTCATATGCATCCCCCAGAGTACTCACACAGCATCCCCAAGCTTCGCTTTGATTCTGCTTTTCAGTGTTTGTAATTCCTGGGGTTCTTTTTCTTAGAAATAAAAGTGCTTAAGAGTTCTGTTAAAAGATAAAGTAAAATGCCAACTGGGCGTGGCTCAGCGGTTGAGCATCGACCGAGGATCCAGGAGATCAGGGTTCGATTCCTGATCAGGGCACGTGCCCGGATTGCAGGCTCGATCCCCAGTCGGGGGCGTGCAGGAGGCAGCCGATCAATGACTCTCTCATCATTGATGTTTCTATCTCTCTCTCTCCCTCTCCTTTCCTCTCTCTGAAATCAATAAAAATATTTTTTTAAAAAAAAAAAGATAAAGTAAAAAAAAAGATGAATTGTCCCCCTTGGAGCAAGAACATATACAAAATGCCGTCAAACATATACCTCTGATATAATATTCTCAAAGTAAAGGTCCTTTTAATTTATTTATTTATTTATTTATTTATTTATTTNATTATTTATTTATTTTATTTATTTATTTATTTTCTCCTTACCTGAGGATATGTTCTTATGGACTTTTAGAGAGAGAGGAAGGGAGAGGGAAAGAGAGAGATAAAAACATCAACGTGAGAGAGAAACATCTATCTGTTGCCTCTCATACGAGTCCCAACCGGGGATTGAACCCACAACCTACCTAGGTATGTGCCCTGACCTGGAATCAAACCTGCAACCTTTTGGGGAATGAGACGATGCTCCAACCAACTGAACACCTGGCTAGAGCAAGTCCTTTATTTTTTAAGG